TTATTTATGCAGAATACAGAAATTCTTTATCACATATAAAACTTATTTGTTTAACATGTTTTATAGAATCAGCCAGAAACTGGAACTAGGATAAGAAACTGAATTGATTTGCTTAGGGACAATACCAGAAGCAATGCAAAAATCTCCCTGTGATTCTGTAATATAAAGAATCTAGGTTGTTCTATGTGGTTCTTTGGTTGAAACTGTAGTGTTTAAGATTTTTTGGGGAAACAAACCCCAAAATGATATTTTCTGGTTTACCTGGTTTACCTCTGTTTTCTTATTAGTTCATTAGTTGTTTATTTCGAAAGGAGACCTAAAAAGACTTTATATATTTGTGTAATGTTTTAAATGTTTGAAAATTTCCCCCCCACAAATTTATATTATGTTTTACTAATTATTTCAGGTTGATTTTTAGAAGTACGCAGGAGAAAGTCAAATTAAAATTCCTGCTGCCAACGGTTTCACCACAGTGCAAACAGCAGACGGCCTATACCTTTTTTATTAACCAACTGCTTGGATCTGAAGCCTGCAGAAGAGTTGACAGTTGAAAAGTTGATGGCTGTAGTAGAGAAGGCCATAGCTCCCAATTCTTTTCTCCTTTTACCCGTTGAAATATCATCAGGAACCTCCAAATTCTCAGTACTACCTGTCCACTGTCCTGCTAGGACCATGGACTGCACCAGGTCATTCATGGCTGGGATGCAAATGAAAGCAAATGAATCAGCGTGGTTAATGTATTTGCTCTTATTTCTCTTTTGTATTACAAATGATTTGGGTTCTGTCTATAACTTTATGTAAATGGACATTTAAAAAACTATAACTACAAGGTCATTTAAATTATTACATGCATTCAGCTGAATGAAATGAGGAGGCCAAAGGCTGATAAATTTCAGTAAATACTTTTATCCCTCCTCCACCCCCTTTAAAAGACAGATAGGATATGTACAATTGCCATGCTTTTATGCAGTGATGTGCAATCTAATTAGAAGCCTTTATAATGTGGTGTGTGGTGACAAACATGGAATGAATTATGATGGAAAGCAATTCTTAAGAGTCCTTGGTCAGAGCAGGTTACTACAGAAATAATTCATTTTTAAATCAAATAAGTATACTACTGAATAAAAACCTGAAAGAGATGATATCCAAAGTGACAGACATTTAATGTGATTATGTAATTATCCAACCATTTAAAAGAAAACCTAGAATATTATTGTATAAAGAATGACAAACATTTTCAAGGGTTATAGGCCATTTTATTTATTTATTTAATTGGGTTCATTAAGGAAATAAATCCTAATGCTAAAAGATTTGTTATACTTTTTCTTAAGTAAATATCTTTGGGAAAAAAAATCTCTATGACATATAAAATTAAGGTTTGTTTCTACCAACTTTCAGGAAGCACTGGAAATTTACAAGTATATTACATGTGTTACTAAACAAATGCATGTATATGTATTAGTATAGACATACATATAATGCAAATTCAATGCCAGCTTTGAAAAATATTCTTCCAGCTCCTTGAATTAAAGGAAGACTTATTTTGCACTTTGCAAAATAAGAAATTGGTACAGTCCAGAGAAAGGTTAGTGAAAAATTAGTAATGGAAGCCAGTGTAGTCATTTGAAAGAAGCTGAACTGTCATAAAGTCTTACACATAGAACGACGGTAGCAGGCCTTCATTTTGTCTTTATCCTTCGGTCTGTTCCTCAAAAAGGGCAGTCTTTTCAGTGCAACCACTTTAATGTCAGAGCATGAGGAAAAACAGAAACAGGGAAATGAAAAAAAAAAAAGGAAGAAGAACAGATGGGAGTTAAATGTTGAAATTAAGGACAGAAATGAATGTTGAGTTTCAGCTATGTATGCTATATTAAAGCTATTATTCTCATGCTGCTGAGTGATAATGAAATATGAAATATGTACTTCGATACTTTAAAATACTTGGAAAAGCACGGAAGACAATGATGAGGAACATACTTTGAAAGCTTGGATTGAATTTTGCTAGTTAAGTTGTAAAGGTAAACGTAAAACTACGCTACTGGTAGTTCATAGTGTACACAATGAAAATGTACAAGGCTTTTCAAGCTTCTATTTTCTTTTAATATTTTTAGGTTTTATTTTAGAAAAAAATAATTTAGGAAAATATACATTCTATGAGAGGGTTTTTTTTTTTTGGTACTAGGGATAGAACTGGGTCCTTGAGCTTGCGCAGCAGCAGGTGGCAAAACCAGAGCTAAATCCCCGGCCCTGTGAGAGTTATTTTACTAATACAAAAATTAGGGTGCCCAGAAGATGTTTAAAACAATCTATAGAAACTTCAAAAACTTGCCTTAAAAACTTCCATTACTCTCTTAAACTTTAATAAAGGAAATACTGGTTTAAAGTGCATTCTAATACATTATTTAACAACAATACAGAAATACACATTCTTTTAAGCAAAGTCATTCTAAAAATTAAATAAGCAATTATATTGGGTTCTTTTTACAAAAGGTTGGTTGGGAGGAAGAAGGAACAAAAGAGTAGTTTGATAGTAGTAAAATGTGTTAGCACTAAGCCCTGATAAAGTAAAATGGTGGCACCCCAACTCAGACAAAAATATACAGGACATGAAAAAGCATTTTGAAGGATGCCATTCATGAAATAATAATAAAAAAACCCCAAAGGAAACACTGTGCAAAAATTTATGTCAATTAGAACAAAAAAAATCACTAGATTATTATTTAGTTCTTTAGCTACATTTTTAGTGAGATTTAAGTATAAAAATTATTGTACCTTTTTTGGAAAAGCAATTTAGGAGTTAGGAAAACAACCTGGATGAAGACTTAATTAAAAACATATACAGAGCCTAAACAGTTATTCTGTTTCTTGGGGTTTGTCATCATCTTGTAAATAAATAAAATTCTTGATAAAATGACAAGTATCATTCATTAAAGACAGTGAAAGAACACAGTTTGACCTATTTTTCTTTAAGCTTGGTAACCACATCTGTTTTCAATGATTAAAAAGAAATGAACTGGAAAGCAATGCAAAAATGGATACTTAGCTCAAACAAAGCTGAGTGGTTGCAGCATGCACATGTTGTCTTATTTAGATACCTTTTTCCTTTTTCTGTTTTTAACTATTTTTAAGAGACTGCTTTACTGACAGAGACACTTTCAAAAGGATAAAAAGGGCTTTTAAGTGTGCCAAGGATGGAATGTGATTCTTTTTATGGCAATTATTTTGGAGATATATAATGTTCTTTTCCCAAAGTATACTTAAATTAAGGGAACATGATTTTTGCTGAGTTATGAGTTTATTTAAAAAATTCTAAAACTGAACAACTGTAGGAAAGGAGAATATTTTTTCCTGACTTTTATTCTGAATGTTGTAGCAGAGAGTACAAAAGAGTGACAGTTTTATATTTCAAACAGACAAGATGACCTCGGAAAAGACTGTTACGCCTTTCTTTTCTTTCTTTCTTTTTTTTTTTGGTACTGGGGATCAAACTTGGGACCTTGCACTTGCGAGGCAGGCGCTGGAACTACTGAGCTAAATCCCTGGCTGTTACTCCTTTCTTGTGTATGTTCTCATGTCTGAGTTGAAATATCTTCCTTTAATTAAAAAAAATTTCCTTAATGTCAGGTATTTTATTATGAAACTTAGCAGATTTATTTGCCACCTTTTTAAAAGGAAAATTTGAGACAATCTTTCCAAAACAGTAACTGCTAATTGGGTAGATGAGACTAAATGTAAGACTCAGGATAACAATAATCTTTTGTAGCAATACAATATTAAACTGCTTTCTGGAGACTAGTATTATGTACAACTGTTTGCATTATACTTTTTTTTTTGGTACTGGGGATCGAACTTGGGTCCTTGCGCTTGCGTAGCAGGTGGCGAAACCACTGAGCTAAATTCCCGGCCCCTTCATTATACTTTTTTTGTTAATTAAATATGGATTCTAGTTTTGAGGCTGCTATTGTTGTAATCTGAAATACGTGCAATAAATGTTTAATAGCTACTCCCTAAAATACTGTCTCTTTCAGAGATAAATCACCTGATGCCAAATCACTGTGCAGTTTTTTCTCCTCCCTGACTACCTCTGGGGGAAGAAGTAGCTGCTTTAGCTCTCTGTTTATTTCAGAAAAATGGTGTGTGTGCATGCGTTTAAAATCTAGTAACACCACTGATAATATGAGAGGATTAAATGATCTGGTTTATGTATTTTATAAAAACACTGATAATCAACTTCTTGGGCATTTTCAAAGCACTTAGTATTGAGCTTTCTCTTGAAATACTTTTTAGGCTTTGACTTTGCTCTTGCTGTTTAGCTAAGCAAGCAACTAGTAATAAAATAAAGAGGTTATAAATTATATAGGGTCTTAAATGGGTACTTCTAATTTCTGAGAAAAAATCATATCACAAGTTTATATACAAACTTACATCTCCCCATCTCCATTTCATTTGAATTAAAACTACTAAGCGTTCCTCAATAATTTTCTTAACCTTCAGTTGTTAATAGACAATAACACCTTTTTTTCTCTTTGCTTCCCCCAGTGTAATAACCTTGCTCGAACTTGATATAAAGTACATGAGCAAAAACTTCATTACAACATGTATTCTCTTTAATTTATAGATATTTATGAAAGTGAAATCTTAAGACATATATTTCTCAGTCGCTTTTCATGATCACCCTGTGAAGTACAAAGCAAAGGTGAAAGGTCTGGTAGTCTGGCTCTTATTTCAATGTTCTTTCTAAAATATTTACCTCTCTAGACGAATAATTATTATCTCTGTGTAGTGTACATCTCAGAAAATTGTGGCTGTGTACTATTACAGTATGCAATTAATTTTATAATCATATAGAATTAAAAAGAAATGCCAGTTATCAGACAGTTCCCCCAAAGGACTTGAAAGAAATATTTGTCATATAAAAATACTAAATATTCAAAAGAAATATTTAGGATTCTGAAATGATAACTTTCTATTAAAGAGGTTAAGCACTCACTGCTGCTCTTCTTGGTTCCCAGGGTTTGGCCATCTTCTAAAGAATTTGACCCTACTGAAGAACTATCTTGACTATCTTGATAAGGCAGGTGAAGAAATCCTTCGCTGGAGTCTGAGCGGGTAGGTGTTAATGTTAGAGATTTCTGACGTTCTCGATTAATATCCTTCTTGGACTTTATCAATTTTCTCATTTTGAGAGTAATCCAGTTGCCTCTCCTAACAGAATAAATTTTAAAAATTCTTAAGCTAAAATTCAACATAGAAGTCCTCCACAAAATCAGAAGTTTTTATAATACTAGAAAGAACATTTTTTCAAAATAAAAATTCATAAAAGTTGATTAATGGTACCTTCTAGGAGGAGATGGGTCATAAAATTTGTACTGATCCATAATTTTCTCTTCTAATTTCTCCTTTTGTCGTCTTAATTCATTTAACTTATCACTATAAAAATTAAAATTACATTTTAGAACATGCACCATATATTGTACAGCTATGAAAGACAGTAAATTATTTTGTGACTTTCATCTCACTTCCTCCCCAAACATAAACAGATACTATAATTGTCAACTAAGAGTTTACTAGGAACTAATAATGGAATTTTTTCCATGTTTCTCCTTTTCTTTAACTTTAAAACTTACTTAAAAGAATCTAGAATTTAAAGTTTCAAATCTTCAAGGATTTCTTTGAAGAAAAATTTTCTACACTGTAATATTACTCTGTAAAGGAATTCTCTCAACATCTTTTTATAGCTCTTAAACACTATAGCAATATGAACTATTTTCTACTGATTATACTTTATATATGCAAAAAATAGTTGGATATTTAGTTTGCTTATAAGCAAACTGTAGATATAATAATCTTCCTACGGGATATCTTTATGCAAATAAATTTTTTCCTTTTTGATGGACTTACTTGGGCTTAATTTACTTGTAAACAATTGTTTCTTAACCCCAGCAATAGATAAGTATATTACTTTTGTCACATTCTAGAGTATACTTTTGTGAGAGAGGGTCTTGCTATATTGCCCAGGCTGGCTCTGAACTCTTGATCTTCCAGCCTCAGCCTCCACAGTTCCATGCCCCACTGCACTCAGCTCCTCACCTCATGTTTATATTCTCAATAGTACTTTTTACATACAGAAACATCAATGATCATAGACCAAAGTATAGTGATCTCTCTTTAAAAAAAACTGCAATGCCAAAAAATACTATTTACTCAGTAAACATTTAGTGATCATTTACAAGGAGGAAGTTATCAGGTACAGCATATATGAAGATGAGTAATAACTAGCTCTACTTATGATACAGTGGGAGAGTGAAGATATGTAAATAATTATGAGGCAGTCAGCAGTACCAAAATAAAAGTACTGTGAAGTACAACAGAAACCTATAAAAAGGGAAATATTTTCATGTTGGAAGATCAAAGAAATCTGCATGAAGAAAAAGGCCAAATTATACAGACTAAAAGAGAAAGATAAGAAAGGTAAATTAAGCAGTTTAGCTTGAATACAGGAAGAGAGGAAGCAGACACTCTGTGTCTTAAGTTTTATGATTTTTCTCAAAAGGAAATCATATATTTTGACTTTTATTAAAGTAATATTATAAAATATTTTGCTTAAGGTACTTAAACCTTAAGGATACAGTAGTAACTTGGTTCACGAACTTAATTCTTTTTTTTTTGGTACTGGGGAATCAAACTTGGGACCTTGCACTTGGTGAGGCAGGTGGCAGAACCACTGAGCTAAATCCCCAGCCCACAAATTTAATTCTTTCCACGATTCTAGTCGCAGAATTCGGTTGCAACCAGAATTGTGGAACAGTTTCTGTGACCAGAATCATGAAAAAGAATTAAGCTCATGAACCAAAGTACCACTTTATATCACAAAGCCTGGAGATAAAGAAAGCATTCAGGACTCAGATGGGGCAGTCTAGTTGAGTAGGAAGGCTGATTTAGGGTGGTGAAACAGAGAGGAACTGATCTGAATCTACAGAAGCTGCTCTGTGAACAGACGTCAACAGTTATACCAACAACCACTTGGACCTCAAGTCTACAGATGGTTAAAAAATTGATGTCTATAGTACAAAAAAGGCCACAGCTCTCAATTCTATTCTTTTATCTGCTGAAACATGATTATGTTTTTCAACTTCTCTGTAATACCTATTCACTGTCACTTCTGCCAGAACTATGTAATAAGAGCCATTCAGCTATAAATGTCTGACATATAAGATGGATATTTGAAACTTAAATTCAGTAAGGCAGAATAGATAATAATATTTGGAAGTCAACTATATAGGCACAATCACTGAAAGAAATCCTAAAATTAATGTCATCAAGAATCAGAAAATTTCTCTTTCTCTTTCTTTCTCCCTGAACCCCGGTTTTTTAAGACAGGGTTTGCCATGTAGCTCAGGCTGGCTTTAAACTCATTAAGTAGCCCAGGTTGGCCTCAAACTTGCAATCCTTCCCCTCAGCCTTCCAAGTGCTGGAAGTACAGGCATGTACCACTATGTTTGGCCTAACGGTAAGAATACTAAGATAACAAAGCTCTGGCTAATGCCTATGGTTAAGGCACAGAAAACTAAAATACCAAGAGCTTTATATATATTCTGCACTACTTAACTTAAAATACCTCTTATGGCAGTGAGCAGAGAAATACATATCCCTAAAAATGCTGAAGATATAGTTCAAAGAGGCCATCTATGAAAATGAAATTTCTTTGAGGTTTATCTTAAAAGTTAATGCAAATACAAACTATATATTAACACAGAAACATTTCCTACCCCACATTCTGTAATAAAAATGATGCTTCAGAAAAACGTATTATGTTTTCTGGCTTCATGTGTACCCTGACTTATCATGTACATTAAGTCTGAAAACCAGAGAAATACTATTTCATTTATTTTTTAGGATAATCCTGAAAGTAGCTGTGATTATTTCTACTTTAGAGAGGAAGCTAATGATTGGAGAAATAAAATGACTTGTCCACAGTCATACAGACAGTAAGTTGAAGAACTGGGATATGAATCGGGAGCTGTTTGATTTCGACATCTGGCTATTTCTATTATATTTTGGTACTTTTCATTTTAGGGGCCAAAGGGAAGGAAAGAATTTAGTAAAGACTAATCATGGCATAATACAAAGACTACCCACTGAAGCACTCAGGCCCAAATCTTGAAGCATTAGCAGATTCCTATACTCTCTATGGTGACATAACTTATCAATAATTAAGCTGGCCAGTTTTATCTCTCAAAGTTCTCTTATAATTTGATCTCAACTTCATTGTATAGCATAGAAAAACTTTTGTGAATTGGTTCCTGTTTAGTCATTTCTCTACTGCTCCTTTTTCTTCAATCTGGCTCCAGAAAGAATAATTAGTTTTTAGGTCATATACCATACCACAAGATACTATCTTACCTCCAAGTTTTTGTATTAGTGTTCTCAAGGCCTGGTATGCCACCTCAAGGAAACTCTATTCTCACTGAACCTTCAAGTCTCAGCTCAGCTCAAGTCTTACTTCTGGAAAGTTTACCTTGCCTCTCTCAGAATAAGGCACTGTTTCCCTTATATTTGCTGTATTTCTATGGTTCCCTACACATACCTCCATTATAGAATTATTGTATTTAAACATACTTTTATTTATTGCTTTATATTACTAAATCTTTTCAAGCAGAACTTGTGTTTTCATGTTATTATTTCTGGTTTTTTAGCACAATGCCTCTAATGTGAGCACATATTGAAATAATGATACTGAAAATCAAGAAAAATGAGCATGAATTTTCTCTGTCACTGGGTATGGCAATGATAGCGTCATGAATAATATTTAAGAGTGTAAATTATTTGGTACCTACATGTACTGTCTTTGTTCAACATGAAAAAGATCCTTGCTTTCCATATTTTGCTCCAAAAGTGTTCTGTTTTGTAGCATTAATGTCTGAATTTGATCTAGTAGATGTCGATTTTCTTCTTCCAAATTCCCTTTAAGTTGGCTGAGCAGCTGTTTAAATACAAAATCTATTTTAAAACTTCACATTTAACATAAATAATCTGAAACATCTAAAATACATAAAGCATTCATGAAGACTTAAGTCTTCTACTGTTTGAACAATTAGATAACTATACTTTGATCCAAATTTGAATGATTATTTTAGTGATGAAAATAGCATTGGGTTATATGCTGTACACACATACTTTTTAAATTCCTACAAACATTGGGTCTAATATATAAAATAAATTATCTAGTTTCAAATACACTGCTTTTTATCTTCATATTTGTATAACTTAATTGTCAAAAAGCTAGATTCAAATCTCTGACATTCTATTTAAGTAGCTAAGAACTAACTGTTGGGACATATAAATTCTCAAATATATAAAATAAGGATAGCTCCGTAACCCACCAAGATTGTTACAAGGATTAAATAATTCATTTAAAGTATCTGGGAGTATATACAGTAGATACTTAATAAATCTGCTTCTTCTCCCAACCACTATTTCAAGAAAGTTTAAGTTTGTGTTTAGTTTTTGGGATTTCATCAAGGACAGTCAGGTAATTTAGTCAATAATTATTACTGGCAAGTTTGGGCTTTTTCTATGCAGTTAGTAGAAACTGGAAATATGCCCTAGATAGGCCAAAAGTTTTGAGAGAAGTCAGAAAGCCCAAAGCAATGATTCAAAATTTAGCATCACTTTTAGAACAGATTTCTGGGCCTTAGCATTTGAATTCATCAGGTGTGGAATGAAGTGCAGAGATGTAAACAGTATTAAACAGAAAAACGCAAAAAACACATACCTCTCATAACCATTACTCTTCCCTCTCCCCAGAAGGAGAAATTTTTGGAAATTTCTCAAAAGGTACAAAAAATCAGGAAGAATGATACTATGAATAACTAAACAACTACCTAGATCCATAACTGTCAATATTGTATTGTGTTCAGTTTAATTATATATTATCACATTGAAATATATGTGGTAGATTCATTTAAAAATGGAATGCATTTATTTATTCTCTTCCCTACCTATACTTTCTTGCAATATGACTATTCACTCTTCCCATCAAACAGTGGAATCTATTTTTCCTCTTCTTGAATTTAGAATGCTTTTGGTGAAGAAAAAGTGGGAGTGATTATGTTGGAAGTTCCCAGCCTAGGCCTCAAGAGGCTTTGTGTGTTTCCAGTGGGTCTACTGGAATCCTCTTAGGAAGGAGGAGGAGTTAACTTCAGATGCAGAAGCAAACCCCTGGCCTACACATCAGTGAGGTGGATCAGCATATCTGTTTCACCAATCCACAGACTCTTGAGCAAAAAGAATGTTCATTACCTCTGAGGTTTTATTGTTGTTTTTTTTTTTTTTTTTTTTGGTACCGGGGATCAAACTCAGGTCCTTCCGCTTGCGAGGCAGGCGCCAGAACCACTGAGCTACATCCCCGGCCCAGGTTTTATGGTTGTTATAGAACATTATGATGTCAAAAGACAACTGATGAGACATATATACAGAAAAAGAGAAAAAATTTAAGTGTATATACAGCTAAGTGAATTATCTCAAAGTTAACACATATCTTAAATCAGCACACAATCAAGAAACAGAACATTAGTCATATTCCAGAAATACTGTTGTGCTAACCTCCACTCACCATCCCTTCCTGAGTTTATCATCCTGACCTCTTACACCACAAATTTATTTTTCAACCTTCTCTATATCTTACCATTACATGACTTTCCCCAAAAGTTAACATTTGACCCACATTGTGATAGTCAAGTAGAGATGAATCAGTAGTCAGGGCTCACTGAGCTACATCACTAGCTCTTTTTTTTTCATTTTGAGACAGAGTCTTGCTAAGTTATTAAGTTACTCAGACTGGGCTCAAACTTGAGATCTTCCAGCCTCAACCTCCCAGAGTGGTAGGATTACAAGCATGTGCCACCACACCTGGCTGTCATGGGGCTTTTCTGTGCTCTGCTCTAAACAAGTCAGTCTATTCCAGTAGCAAAACTGCTGGTTTTTAAAGCTTGCCCCATGCTCTGTCAGAATGACTAGGTATTTGAGCCATGGGAGGGAAAGAAAAAGAGAATGCAAAATATAAAAATGTCTCAGTCAACCATAGTTACTCCCAAAGTTGAATGGCTTTTCTTTAATAAATGCCTTTTAGCTTAAATACTAGAGTCCTAAAATGGTTGTTTTTGAGATTTCTGACCAATTTTACTGTTTCTTTGTGGAGCTGATTTACTAGGTTCCTCTACCATTCCAGAAATAAACCATCTTAACTATATTTTATTTAGACTTTTATAAATTATTGGTAGAATGAATGCTCTGAACTTTCTGAGTTTTGCTGGGTAAATTATATGCTTTTCAAACCAATTTATCTTTCTACTGGCTTGTAATTTCACTTCAGAGCACACAATGGTGTTTTCATTAAAGAAGCACAAAATTTTACAATTTTCAAAGTATATGGGCATATAAATTTAAACTATAAAATAAACCATTAAAAAAATTTAAACTATTGTTTAAAAATGATGAAATCAGTGATACAGTTTTTCTGAGTTGTGAATCTCAGTGATCCACGATCAATTCTTTTAGGAGCATTCCATTAAGTATATACTGCAACTGCTATTATAATATGATTATTTACTTTTTGGGAATGTTTTGATACTACAGGAAGGAAATAGTAACTTAAACTTGTTCAGGCTTACCTCACATTGGTTATTCAGCTTTGTGGATGTGATATCCAGTTGCTGGTATTGTTCCTTTAGCTTTGAAAATTCAGCTTCTAATCTTGTTTGTTCCAGTTTAGAATTATTTAGGAGACTTTTCAAGTTTTTATGGTCAGTTTGTAAAACTTCAGTCTCTTTTAAAAGCTGACTATATGTATGATTCAACCTATAGTTACAAGCAATGATAGAAATAGAATTAGATTCTCTTAATAGCTTTGGTTCCATTTACACAATGTGAAAATGCTATAAATAACACTCAGATATATTTAGAGAATAAAGATTCTTTATTAGTTATGAATTTGAAGAATGTTTCCTTCCCGTGAAAACAAGATTTAAAAAATTCTCAGTATCATTTAACTTTAAAGTATGTCAAAAAATGAATACAAATTTACCACATAAATTTAAAGCCTTAATAAAAATTTTAGATCAGTGGTCCCCAACTTTTGTGGCATCATGGACTGGTTTCATGGAAGACAATTTTTTCAAGGACTGGGAAGGGTGGGGGAGTGGTTTTGGGATGGTTAAAGCATATTACATTTATTGTGCATTTTGTTTTAATTATTATTACATTAGTTTCTCATAAGGGGTGTGTAACCCAGATCCTTTGCAGGAGCATTTCACAGTAGGGTTCACGTTGCTTTGAGGATCTAATGCCTCTGTTGATGTGACAGGAGGCAGAGCTCAGGCAGTAATGGGAACAATAGGGAGGCTGCTGTAAATGCAGATTTAAGCTTTGCTTGTTTGCCTGCTGCTCACCTCTTGCTGTGCAGACTGGTTTCTAACAGGCCACAGACCAGTACCAGGTCCCAGGCCTGTTAAGGACCCCTGTTTTTGATTAAAGGACAAAAGAAGAGAGCAGTCCAGTTTTGATTTCACAGAGAATTCAGATTCTAAAATTCATCATGAAACAAAGATGAGATCAAGAGAATAAATAAATCCAGCATGAAATACTATGTCAATGTGCTGGCTGATAACTGATACATACAGGTTTAACCAAATTTTAGTTGCTGAGATTTTTGCACATGTAGAAAATTCTTTCTATTTATGTAATCCCCAGTTATTATTTCATAAAATCAAGCTCTAGCTTTTTGATCCCAAAATTTAACTTCAAGACAAGCAAAATTCATTGATCTATAAGGACAGGGACTAACAAACTTTCTCTAAAGGACCAGAGAAAATATATATTTATGGCTCTGTGGACCACAACAGTGTCTGTAGTATGCTCCTTTTCTTCCATCTCACCAATCCTTTAAAATATAAAAACTTCTTAGTTTGGGGGCTGTACTGAAAGAGAC